TGATAATAGTTAAGCTATTAAAAAAATCTAGTGTAGACGAAGAAATGATACCTTCATTAGCATGTCAGCATCTCCACGAGGCAAGACCGGGCAACCAACTTGCGCTGGTGATCCAACATTAGGTACATCGACAGAACTTAATTGACCATCCTTCCCAAGAACCATATTTCGATTGTTGAGAAGCATTTTCATCCGCCTATTGTCCAAATCATTGGAAGATGGGGAAGCCAAATTTTGTTGTGCTAGCATAAGTTGCTGCTGTTGCAGAAGTTGATTATAGGGTTGTGGGGACTGCATCAAAGAATTTTGCTGCTGAAGAATCCCAGATCGAAGCCGATCAAATCCCTAAAAAGGTGTAACTCAATCAGAAAACCACTGTTTATCTAATTTGAAAGAAACACACAGAAAAGATACATTACAATTATATAGAGTGGAAGGGTATATTCAGTCCTACCGTTAAAGGCCATCCTTTCAGAGTCAAATTGTTATTGCCTTGATTTGATCCTAAAATGTAAACACGAATCATTTGTAAGAGAAGAATTAAACACAAATATGAGTAATGATTTCACATTAACATGCAATGAAATATGCAACAGACTGATATGGAAATTGCATTTTCTGCATTAAATATGAGTCCTAACTGATGATATCAATCAGTAGATTCAGTACCATGAGCGCCAATCAATGATCCTTCTGGAGCAACAGCTCTGGGGTTCATCACCTCACTCTTTATGTCCTGTTTCATCATAGAAAACACACCCACAATAAGAAAATCAAATTGTAGGGATAAAAGACGAGGAAACAGATCACTGATGATAATCACCTGTGAAGAACCAGGAAGTTGCTGACTCCGACTGTGAGGTTGTTGAAGATTCCCCAACACACCTCCAGGTGTACCATGCAGCATTTGACTGTAAAGGAGTTGAACCACTTTCATACTAAGTATCAATTGCATGCAAAGAACATGTGTTACACCGTAAAGCTGAGTCATGATAAATGTGGAATCTTAAGAGAAATACCCAGGAGGCTGGCCACCTGCTGTGGCTGCTTTCATCATCGACGCATGATTGGGATCCAAAAGCTGACTCATATTATCGCCTAACCTTTGCTGCATGGTATATGTATTGTGAGTTTGTAACTAGATTAAACGAATATAAGATAGAAAGAAAGTCTCTCGGAGTAATATGGCAAAACTCATTACCTTGATAGCTGCATCATCTATAGCATCTCTCTGTGGTGGAAGCTTTAATCTCTCCTCGTACATTTTTGTTGCCATAGAATTTGCAGTTGCAGGGTTCTGCCTCAAAAGAGAATCATTGGCAGTGCCATTATGAAGCTGGGTCCCATCTCGACGCTGCTGCTGCTGTTGCTGTTGCTGCTGTGGCTGCTGCTGTTGTTGTTGTTGTTGTCGCTGCTGCTGTTGCTGCTGAGCATGCCTTTGTAATAGAAGCTGCTGCATTTGCATTTGATCTTGCAGCTGAGGCTTCTGCTGCTGCTGCTGCTCCCTCGCCTTTATCACTTGAGTCTAACACATCCAGACAATCATTGAAACGACTTAAAATGGAGAAATTCAAAAGATGCCAACTATATTGCAAAGGCGGCAAAAACAATAGAGCCAGGAATGAAGTCAAATCTAAGTCCATACCTCAATGTAAGATGCAGCTGCTTCTGAGTGCTTCTCATTCGTCCTAGCAATGAATATGTCCCAAAAGACAGACCACCATTCGAAAAGAAAGCCACCAGGTGCATCAATAGCTGAAGCAACCATAAAATCAAAGAAATTTAGTTAAATTCAATTTCAGATATAAATTCACGTATATACAATGAATCTCTTTTCTTTGGCAGATTTAAGTATATTCTCACCTACAGGATCCGTGGAAACTTTTCCTTCATCTTGAAATGCCTTTGCAGAAGCATGTAATTTTCTCTTCATAAGGTAATCATAGATATACACATCCAACCTGTGATCCAAACACATTATAATGTTTCCACACGTCACGAATCCAAAAAAAAACTCTTAACACTTGAGAATCTGCAGAAAATAACAGTGGCAGAAGGTACAAAATGCAGAAACATAACATCTCACATGATGATAATCCACCAACCCAGTGCCAAGAAAATGAATGGAACTATTAAAAGTGAAGATCTTCGAGCCCCGAAAACTCAAATTCTTATCACTAATTATCTTTTTAATGTCAAATTTTGTTGAAGCGAATTATTTAGTTCCTAGAACTAACTGAATCAAACACGAGAAACAAAATTTTAAACCGTTTTAAGAAATCCACAGCACCAAAAGCCATGTTGCTTTACTTCCGCTAAGAAAATGTAAGAAAAACAACTTTTTGGATCCCCAGTGTCCCCATACAAGTCTGGAAAGTTAAATTTCTTTCTTATTTTCCCCTTTTTTTTCTGGAGCACGAGGAAAAAATAGAAAACTGGGAGCCAGACAGCCAGGGCTTTACCAACAACAAGAACACAACCTTATCATACACAAAAAAAACATTGAGGATATCTCGAAATAGCTTGCAAAAACATGTAAAAATCAAACAACCCAATACAGATTAAGGTCAGCAAAACATGAAAAAACACAAATTTACCACAACCCAACAGCAAAGGTTCAATCTTTAAACGAAAGGATGGTTATTTATGCGAGAAAACGAACAACATAAGTGAAACAAACCCAAATGCCAAAAAGCAAAACACCATAAAATACCCATTTGGAATAAAAGATGAGAAAACAATAGTACCCACCAAAACCCTACAACCAAAAACTCACTACAAAAAAACCCCCAGAATCCAAGTTGCTGCCATGGCAGTAAGAACGTGAAAAACCCCAGAAAAATTTCGACCAAAATAACGTTAGGAGAAAAGGAAATTTACAGTGCAAAATTACTAACATTTTATCAGCTTCCCAATTGGTCTGGCTCTGAGACATGACTAAGATATTCGCAGCAAGTTTAATTTGCAGGAAAATCCGAAACTTGGGACACTTCGCAGATGATGATGAAGTAGAATGTCGGAGGCTCTGTCTTTTTTTGTTCTGCGGAAGCAACTGAGAGTTGGTTTGTTGTTGTTGTTTATTGTTTTTTTTTTAATATTCTATCTTTCTATTTTTTATTTTTTTTTTTGACAAAATATATTCTCTTTCTCATTCTATTAAACTTATAAAAGAAAGTTGAAGGAAGACGGTCACCCCCTCATTAAGTCACCACTAAAATAATAATTTCCATTTGGCATTTTTGCCGAAATAGTTCCTGAATTAACGTAACTTTTGCATTTTAGTTCCTGAGTTTGAAGTGGTTTTTAAGTTTATTTACTATTAATTATTTTAATCATTCTGTAAAAATTCTGTTAAACAAGAATCAAAATAAAATAACACTTTTAATAAACAATTGACCAAAATAATTTGATAAACTTGAAAATATTTTTGTCATTTTATATTTATTTAATGTAGATTTTTCACAAAATAATTAAAATAATTAACGGTGAACAAAGATGAATTTTTTATGGGCCATTGAATTTATAAACAAAAATGTATTGCCGCCTCATTCTATCAAGATTGCATTAAAAAAAAAATTGTAATCGGTGGATGCCTCTATATTAAAAGAAAAGTTACACACAATTCTAAAATGGCACGCAACCCGTGCAGAAACATGTTGGTCTTTAATTTATGTATTTTTAAAATGTTCGTTGGGAGTTCTATTTTTGCCAATTTTTTAATAACTTGGTTGCAAGCAAAACATCCATGTTTATATCATTTAAACCATGATTTCCACATCAAATAATTTTAAAGGAAAACTAATAAAAATAGATTGAAAACTTTGAATTTTAACGATAATGACAAAATAAAGGGTAAAATAAATAGTACCAGGTTTGACTTTTTAGTGTAAAAATATGATTTTTCGTTAAAGTGAACAATACCGCGGGTTTTTCATTAAAACTCCCTAATTTTAATGGTCTCATTTTTTTCTATAATTCAATTGTTTTTCTTATGTAATTTATTTTGACGTAAGGCATTTTACTTCTCCTTGTCTTTGCATTAAAGAGATAGGGCAACCTAACAAGTGGTTTTTAATGTTATTTTGACTTGAAAGAGTACTTAACCAGTCAACACGCTAACAAGAGAACAACTTATTCCATGTTTAGATATCATCCGATTATATAAGTACAACTTTCAATACATGTAATCTTGTTCCAATACTTGACTAACTAGCTGATGGAACTGTTCTACTTCGAGTTTTCTTTGATTCAATCACAGTAGGACACACAGATTGGTCAAAAGATGAGAATAAGTTTGGAGTGATCCTCTATCTCTTTTTCAATCTGTGGTCGGTAAAAAGTATGCATATATCAATCACATCACAGTTTATAATATTTACTGCTAATTGTCTTCATTGGTGCCAGAGAAAAGGAACCAAAAGAGTTGGACATGCTTTCGCGGATTTGCTGAAAAGGGGTCACAGAAGTCAAAAGATAGGTGGTTGGGCAATTCCAGTCCTCTCAATTTTTTCTAAAAGGTCTTGCGTTCAAATACTTGGGTTGTAAAATTTCGGATTTCCTTCGTCAAGATTACCAGATCAAAACGATCTGAATTTTTAAAATTTCATTAAACGGTCCATCTATTTTGATTATTTAAAAGTTATAATAATTTTTTATCGTTTGATGAAATTTTAAAGATCCAGATCATTTGATCAGGTGATCTTGATGAAAGAGATCCGTAGAAAATCTTTTTCCGTAAAATTGTTTGATTGCGGTCGCATATGGATTGTAATTCCTAAGTATCTTCTTCCGGGTTCGAAAGGAGTTGATACGGTGGTTCGCAACCGGTTGTTCTCTTTTTAAAAAATAAACAACCATTCATGACCCTTTATTCCTCCATTTTTATAATTAAAAGCTGATTAATTTATGATTAGTGTAGAGCATACCATTAGCTCATGAACTTTCAATTCCAGTTTCCTGAAAAAACCCTAATCCCAGAACTGATGCATAACAAGGGAATAAAAAATAAACTGATTGCATATATAAATTATAAACCCAGTCCTTCCAAAAAAAAAAAATTATAAACCCAGTTGTGTACAAAAATCTGCCATAAATCACATGGTTGAATTCAAGCACTTCCTCCAATGTGTGTTGGATATAAGTCAACAATCTGTGATAATTTATATATGTTAATAAATAATAAATGCAATAGAAACTAACAGAATATAAACTAGAATATGAATTATAAAACAGACAACTTTGAAGATCGAGGCTTGCCTACCGCAATGTCCTTGAAACAGAAATTTCGTCCCTACTCTGTGCTTGTAGTTCTACGGACGTCTGCTTCACCAGGATTCAACGATCAAGTTAAAATTCCAGCACCTAAAAATTTAACTTATGGCGAATTTAGTGTGGTTCTCTCAGTAAGAAGGTTTAGGAGTGTACAAGATGAAGATGATTATTTTTTTGTGTTTTAAATGCTATGCAGATAGATGTATATATAGCAGATGGATGCCTGTTTGCAACAGGTATGAGAATGAGATGTGACTGTTGGGAGACATCTCTTCAAAGAGATGCTTTGCTCTGTGTTCAGAAAGAACTCTCGGACTTCATCTGAAATGATGAGTCTTTTCATAAAAAAAAAAATTAATTAAATTCGAATTTAATTAAAAAATAATTAAGTAAATCCGAAAAATAATTAATTAAATAATTTAATTATTAGAGCCCAATGCCCAAGGTCCATCTTTTGACAATTAAATATATATTAATTATATATTAATTACCAAATAATTATTACACCCCAAAGCCCAACCCTAAGGGTGAGCCCAATTTTAGTCTCCAGGCCTATTACTCCAATCACTCTCTTTAAAGGACAAAACCTTATAAAGTGATAAAAGCTTTTGGGAATGGCCAATGTGGGACAAGGAAATTTTTACTCAAACTACTCAAATTTCCAACAATATACATGCAAAGCCCTTTTCTTGATAGAAGAAGAGACGAGATTCGAACACAGGATCTCAACGCAATGGTAAGCGTTTAACAACTTGAGCGAAAAGCCCCGTGTTAATAGCTTTAACAGTAATAAAACTTGACATAAAACTGATGTCTAATGCACATATAACTTGGTAATAAAAAGTACCATCTCTAACAAGTAATCAAGTAAAAATACCCAGACAAAAAGGGAGGCCAAGTTTCTCATTCCTTGAAATCATCCTTGTCATCGATTGGAATTGGTCTGTTTCTCCAGAAGACAGCAAGAGCACTCCCACCAAGCTGTTCGGAGGGACAATGCACGATGATAGTAAATAACGTTGTAATTTGTAGAACTCCCATAATTAATTAACTCAAAAGGGTAGTTAAGAAGGAAATTAAGGGAGTTTTAGATAATCATACCGCCATGCAAACAACGCTGACAGCAGAAGGGACGGCAACAAGAGGGTTTGTAAAATGTTTTTGAGCAAGTAAAAATCCAAGTGCTGAGCTCTGCAAACGAAATATCGAGAAAGTAGTTAGAGGGTACTTAAATGTATGAACTCGTTCAACTTGACAAACACTCTGCGAAAATCAGTAAGAAAATACTGAATAGAAGATGACTACCTGCATCCCACACTCTATGGATATGGTACGAGATGTAGATTCACCAAATGATAATTTCGAAATCCAGTAACCAATACCAAATGCAGCACCGTGCAGAATAGCCACCGGGAGTATCAGTTGCGCTCCTTGTGTTTTCAAGACTTCCGAAACTTGCCCGATCTTAACAATTATGCGCATACAAGTTACCCTATTAGATTCGTAATGTAACTACTATGAATTTACTGAGGAGAAACAAAATGTATCCATATGGAAGTCAATTCAGTATATGTTTGCAACTTACCGGGCTGGCACAGAGTAGAGTGGTGAGCATTACTCCAATTAAAGGTGTCACCGCGGCTATTTTTGAAGTGAATTTGGGGAAGAACTCATTTGCCAGTACTGTCATGGAAAGCAGGGGGGGAGAGGGTTGATTATAAATTTATGTCCAGATATTGGAAATAAGCTATGATTTGTAGAAAGATTTCAAATTCCAAGGATAACTGTAAAAACCTTCTATTTACCTCCTACAATTGTTGGCATTAAAACAACCTGGAAAGTGCTGAGAGCCAGGCCCTGCAAAGATGGCGGGGAGAAAATCTCAGCGTAAACAGACTATTTCCGTATCCTTATATTTTATCCGTAAAATTTCTTTAATTACTATTGGAAGTGCTGGCCAGCAAGTATTACTTATAAACTGAAGAAGTTCAAGTATTACATAATTTATCAACAAAGTTTGTTAACCATGTTCCAACTTACCACAGCATCAACTGGAACAAGCTGGCCAGCAAGAAGCTTGGTAAGAAGTGGTGTCATAATAATAGCTCCTATTGTTGAACACCTACAGAATGACCACAAAATAATTGTTGCTTCAATATGTGACATTACGATAAACAAAAGGCTGTCGAGTCTGGTTTTATCATACTTCAGTAGCAGTATAAGTTAATAAATACTGCAAACATATCCAGGACCTGCCAAAAGTCAAAACAAACAAAAACATTTGAGGGCATGTAACTTACGTTGTCATGAGAACAGAAAGCGCTACGTTTCCCTTAGAGATATAAGTTGCAACATTTGATGCCTGACCACCAGGACAGCACGAGACCAAGATAAGACCAGTCGCAATAGGTGCAGAAAGTTTGAGAGTCTGAAAATCAAAATGAATTTTAGATAACACTTATATTTCATCAATGTTACACTGCATCTAAACACTCGCAAGCTGTTAACCAATATAGAATCCAAAATATGTAATCCATAAACTTAATCCAGTCAACATTCCCCTTCTTTGTAATAGAAGAGAAGATCTTCAAACACTGGCAGTAAACATGAGATTTTTTGGCTAAAGTCTGAATTGAGTAAAAATTTAATTACAACTGTAAAACATTTCACTAGTAAATTACATGACAGACAACAAAAGTTTTGACGAAGAATTACCAGGGCAATAACAAAACCTAGTAGGGGTTTGATCATGTACTGTGCAAGAAAACCTACACCCACCTGCAACAGAAAAATTAATTATAATTTAAAACTAGATTATTCTGTTTCAGATACTGTCCGTGATTTAAATGTGAGTGGATGCTACTCACTGTCCAAGGATTACGCAAACATCGTCTAAAGTCCTCAAAGGTCAATGTCAACCCCATGGAAAGCATGAGGAAACCAAGGCCAAGCGTGAAAAGGTCTGTCTGCAACCAAGTTACCTGTAGAAACGCCATAAATAAGCTAGTTATACACTAGTTGATATGCCACACAATGAAGTAGCAGACAGAGAGATTACCGCAGCTGGCTTGTAGATCCCAAGGATGGTGCCCAATATGACCTGTCCACGGAAGTAGATTTAAAACTTGCAGGTGTTCTTGGGAAAGCTTTATTTTAAATATACACAGAAGTAAGCAATTAAGAAGTACCAAAGACGAGAATCTGGTTAAATACAATGTAACACCTACCCACACAGGAAATAGAGTTGTCAAAGTTTCGATTATTTTCTCATACAGGTTCATCCCACTAGGAGTACTACTAGGAAGATCTCCAGATAAATTTGTTGCAGCCTTGCAGAAAACTTTGGGGTTCCTACATATAGTTGTCAACAAGCTGATGAATGTAGACTTAGGTATTCATAACCAGGAAGTGCATGAAAACGGTAATCATCTTTACAAATAAATGGCTAAAATTAGGACAGCCTAGACCGTAAATGGTTGAGACCGTTATTGTCCTACATCATCCAACTGGTGTATATTCCACATTCTCCTCCAAGACTAAACACACTTATTCCGATTGCCTTTACAAAATTGAACTACGAGACCACTATTGTTCCCACCAGCATTAAACAGTAACTCTTGTGCATGATCACATTGATATGCTAACATATATGCGCATTTCTTTCATCAAACAAAGGTAACAAGAAACATAAAACATACCTTGATGTTTGAATTATCGAAGAAGGTGGTTTCGCAACGATGGGACTCCATTTCTTGCTTTGGATCGCACAGCACCTTACATTCTCAGGCACAGAAAGTTCACCTCTTAAGTCTGAAACACCAATCAATGTTGGAAAAATAAATGCTAGAAACGGAGGGGCATAAATAAATGTCACACTCCCCACAATTCAGGAACCCGAAAATGATCAAATCAAAGTCTCACAGCACAAAAATTTACAGATAAAACATCAAAACGAGCTTAACCCAAATTTCTTGTCAGCAAATTTAAAGTCCCAAAGCACAAAACTTTACAGATAAATCATCAAAACAACCAGAACCCAATTGCCAAATTCCGCAAATAAAAATCACAATCCAGAAACAAAAATCAACGAAATATTATATCCAACGTACCCAGATGAGACTGCAGCCTCCTTGCAGATAAAGAAGCAGCTGGCCTGCAGAAAGCGTCGCATGTTCTCAGCTTGAAATCCTTGAGAGCAAATTTCGACGATAAGGACGACATTGGATCGAATCAAACTGCTCGAACGATTTGATCAGACGGAGGAGATGAAAGGATCATGGGTCTAAGCTCAAATTTCAGTGGGGGTTTAGCAGTGAGGTTTGCTGCAGAGGGAGGTTTTGGTTGCCTCCAAAAATGGTGGGGGTCTACGTTGCCTTGTTGGGAATCGTGGAAACCGATGAACCACACAAATGAACCTATCTGTTGTCTGCCTCATCCAAATCCTTTTGCAAAAGAACGAAAAACACTGATTGATTTGTTTGATGCTGATTTTTGAAAATTACAGTCTAGTCGGCATTGTAAGTACAGTTGAACAGTCGATAGCTTGAGCCTTGAGCTGATAGCTCCCATAATTTCGTTTTGATTTGGGAAATATAATTACAATTGACTTTCATTTATTTGACCTGAATTTTTAATCAAAAATACGAATTATAGTGATAAGAGGGCTGGGGTGGTGTTGGATTGAGATCTACTTCCGATTTCTGTGTCCGCAAGAGATTTAGATCATTCGATTTCAATTTTATAGTTCCTAATAAATTGAGATCTACTCTAGATATTTGTTCATAGCTCGTAGATAGAGAGATCCCGACGATCTCATTAGCTCATCTCATTCGCCTACCTCAAAAATTCAAAAAATTAAAACTACATAGTTCTCTTTCTCTCTCTTGAATGGTCCAAATCTCTTGATCTGCGGACTCCAAACACAAATTCGGAGTGGGTCTCATTCTGAATGATGTTTAGAGATCATATCCTCAACCACATGATAAAATGTTTAATAGTTGATTTATTTTTAAAATCACTAAAATGAAATCCAACCATTAACCGCTACATCTTTTGGTTTACAAAATATGATCTAAAAATATAATTTGTCTACTATTTCCAAAGAGGTAATTTTCCACGTATTTTTTTTAAATTGTTGATAAAATGAGTAAATCAAATGAAAACAACAAATAAAAAACAGATAAGAAAATAAAGAAAGATGTGTGTTTAATATTTTTGTTAGTAAATACTTGCGGTGATGTAATATAACTTTAGAGTAAATTGTACAAATGGTCCTTCAACTTTAATCAAATTGGAGCAATGGTCCCTCAACTAAAAATCCATTACCATTGGTCCCTCAACTTATCAAAATGTGTAGCTATAGTCATTTTCATCAATTTTGTCAAAATTTTGTCAAAATAAGCTATGTTGGAATGACCATTTATATAATTAGGGTCCCTCAACTCATCAAAATG